ACAAGATATCTATATCAAGTGACATTGTAGTTTCAGGACAATTTATACTTTGGCTTTGCTGGCAGTGAATATGTTGATGTGATCCTGTATCAGCACATGCCTGTGTTTTTTTTACGCACACGCTTTGCAGAAATTTATGTTTACATCCATCAGGGGCCGTGCTTTCAGCCACTACGCCCTGAAGCTCTGGAACTCTCTCCCTCAATCCCTCCGCCTTACCCCCTTCCTCCTCACTTTCAAATCCCGCCTAAAGATCTTTTTTGATGGTGCTTATGGTCACCTCGCCCCTCCCTCTCCCCCTGGCTCAGGGTCAGACTCCGCCACTGTCGAGTCCTCCAGGACGCTACCCCCCGCGTGAAGGTCGGTGTATAAAATCAAGCTGTTGTTGCTTAGGAATGGATCAAAATTAGATCAACATAAACAGACAGAATTCGACCTGAAAGCATCCCACGCAAGACAAACGAGAGGTGTGCAAACAAACACAGCAAGCAAGGCAAATGCCAATCAATAACACTCACGTTTGCCAACACGTCTGGGCAGACCGGAATGTCCAATGGTGAAGATGGGCAATGAGTAGAACCTATACAGAATATTAAATGCGCTACTTCACAATTGCTTGCTGGGGGAACCTGGAATGGCTGCATTGTTGTTCCCAACTCACCTTCGCTACTTAAATATGCTATTCAGATTGGCGTTCTAAGACTGGAGCTTGCTGTGTTGACAGATTAGAAGCAAAATCGAATTGGCCTCAGCCAAGTTCATAGGAAGAAAGCCATCTAGTGCTGTCAACCATAAGAAGCAAAATACTGCATTTGGAGGAATCAGAAAAAGTTAACTTTCTTCAAGGAGAAGGTAGTATTGTGCTGATTAATAAGCCCAAACTGTCACATGCTGCAGCATTTGGTGCTGTAAACAGCTGATTATTCAGAGAGCAGTTAGAGCTACACCCTGACTCTTCCCCCATATATGTATGCACACGTCTAGCATTTTGGCAGATGGATGAATTAGCAGGAATATCAAGAGGAACGTGAAAATGGCAGCAGATGTTCCACCCAGTTTTCATTAGATGAGACATTATAGAGAGAGTGAAAGGTTAGCGGGAAATGGGAGTGTTGATGGGAATAGGATTAGAATGTGTCATATAGATGTTTTGCTCAATGGCAAATCGGGGAATCTATTCGCGCCTCAGTCCGACTTCCCTGACTCACATTCTCTAGAAATAGATTTGTCAGCGAGAACATTACTTCTGCATTGTGCCTCAAAGTTGGGATCTGGCGAGAGGTGACCAGAAACACCGTGCTTAAGAGTATCCAAACCGAACGGAGGATTCCATGCATCCCACCTACTCATAGAAATTCCAGAGAAAGATTGTTGGAATGGATTGGAACTCTCTCCCTCAAGGGATGCATCCTGCTTACCTAATTCAACAACAACAACAAAATGACATTTGTAAAGCGCCTTTCACGTCGGGAGGATGTCCCAAGGCGCTGGACAGACAGAGTTACGGACCCGAGCTGAGGGTCGGGGTGGGGGAGGGGGGAGGGCAAGGGGGGGAAACAGGGAGATCGAAAGCACGGTCGAAGAGGAGGGTAATTCTGATAATTCAGAGTATTAAGGACCCCAGAGTGTGCATTGGAGTACTGCAGTCTTAAATCTCCATAGCTTGCCATTGATATCTCTGTATGGCAAACTTTCCTACTGGTTGTCTAGCTAAGACCACCCTACCAATAGAGTCTTATATTTTCAAGGGTAGCCTGAGCACAGCAACACTGCCAGTTATTTTGATCTTTAGTTAAGATACTAATCCTTAGCAAAAGCACACACGCTGCTTTAGGTCAAGTCCTACAAAGGAGTAACACAAGGGGAAGCCTTCTCCACTCCATTTGGTAACCTTTGTTTAGGAATGGATCTACTGAAAATTCTGGTATGCAAGGAAAACAAATTGCCTAGTTAGAAAAATAATTGGCTACGTAAATTATTACCAACTTTGGACATCAATGGAATGGAATGGAAGAAATGCGTACAAATGCGTAGGATTGCTTGAAAGAAGTGAATTCTATTATGAGTAAATTGTATGAGGTTTGAGAGGCATATCAAACATGGAACGTAAGATCTGCCACCATCACTTGCAGTTTACTGACTTTCACGTGAAGACCAACGAATGTGTATTAACCGTCATGAGTGAAAGAAGCTTTAGGATCACAGGAACACAAAGGTTCAAAAAGACCCAACATTAACTGGATCAGAGAGGGTGGGTAAACTTCGGTTACAACAACAAAATTACATTTATAGAGCACCTTTCACGTTGGGAGGACATCCCAAAGCGCTGAACAGTCAGTCATGTGTCGGGGCCCAAGCATGGGGGAGGGGTGATGTAGGGGTGAGGGAAGGGGAGATGTGCGTGGGAGACCAAAGGCACGGTCGAAAAGAAGGGGCTTGAGACCGGCCTTGAAGGAGGCAAGGGAGGAAGCGAGGCAAAGGGACGGTGGGATGGATTTCCGGAGTGTGGGGGCAGAGAGGCTGAAAGCCCCGCCACCGATGGTAGGGCGGGTCGGGCGGGTGACATGGAGCAGGCCGGAGCCCGCTGAACGGAGGAAGCATTATCTGGAGTTATGGAAGTTCAGAAGTTATTTGATCGGTCTTTAAAATAATGAGGGGAATTGACAAGCTGGACAGAGGATTACTCGTCCCTCTGATAGATGTATTCAAATCAACGGTTTGTATTCTTTAATAATAATACAATAATAATAATCCTTACATTTGATGTATATTTCACCCGCAAAAATATATAGTCAATTTACTTTACAGTATTTCCTGTGATGCTCTTTGAGACGTCTCAACAACGTGATAAGGCGCTATATCAAATGCAAAGATTAATTAAAGGTTATAGAGCCTTTATTGAGTTTTTTGGAATTGATTGGATTGTTCTGAAAATAAGACCGTGTGGGTTTTTGATGCTCCCTCACAAGTAGATAGCTGATGCCGAATGCACCTTTAGTGCAGCAACGTGTGATGGAATAGAACTGACACCACTGATGTTACTGTGGAAACTGCTGCATTTGTACCATTTCAACAGAACCAAATGGAATTCTACAACTAACATTGGTAACTCTTCCAATCTGAGCAAAGCTGTGTTTAGGCAGATGCTTTCTACAGTATTATAGCTCCCAGCACAATGCTGGGAAGGGACTCCCGACAAGATCTGGCCACTCCATCACTGGTGCTTTTACCCTAAACAAAAATATGCGCTTTCCAGTGAAGTTTCTTAACATATGTCACAAAGCTTAGTAAAGACTATTAATGCCCTATAGTATTCAATTGACGATTCCAGGTAGAATACACTATCCGGTCCATCAGGTTGCAAAATACTACTGCAATCAAGTAGTTTGAATAATGCATCCCACTGGGGAACAATTTTACAGGGAAATTTGTCAGCAATAAAGTCAGCGGGCACACACACATACAGCAAGGCGAAATGTTGCCACCCGTGTGGTGAAAAATATGCTATAACTGGATTTCTCTGCACACAGCTGGCCACAACACAGAACACTGGCCAGATAATTTGGCTGATAAGCAACTGTTCAAATACATCATCTGCATTTCCTCACTCTTTGTTATTGGAGTGTAAAACATATTGGAATATGACTACTTCGATCTTTGATTTCAGGATAATTAGAAATTCAGCTGATAGGTTTCAAAGCTACTGTAATAAGGACATAAGAATTTACCAGGTTTCTCAAAGGCTCATCGAGTTCATCTTCCACCACCCTGGAAGCCGTTTGATGTGTCGTGTCCCAAATTATATACTGTATCCCGAGATATTATTTTCTAGCAGAAATCTATCTAATTTGTCTTGAAACAAACAACATTTTTTGCTTCCACTGTCTCCTTAGGGAGCCTGTTCCATAAGTTTACTACTCGCTCACTCAAGTAGTTTTTCCACAAATTTGTTCTAAATTAACTCCCTTCAATCGCAGGTTGATGTCGTTTGCTATTTGTACAATACTTGAAAAAAAGGAAAAATATGTCCTGATATATTTAATAAGGGGAAGGATAAATGTCCCATTATTTCCCCTTAAAGGGGTATAAAAATCCAACTTGTTTCTTCAATCCCAACACTGTTCATTCTCAGATGCCAAAGGAACCAGAGATCGCAAATTAGAAACCCCTTAAGTTGCACTAGTTGTGTGACCTTGTGTTATTCACTGGTTGAGACAACATGGTATTTATTGTTCACTCGTGAGAAAGAATGCAAATAAAGGTTTCAATTGGTCCATCTAAGGGTTAGGGTTGAGTCTGAGTCGAGTCAAAAATACAGCATTTGTATCAGGAAGTTACAAATTGCGATTCCGGCTTGTAACCAGATGTGCATCACAATGACAGATGGAACTCTGCTCTTGCGAGCTCAGCGATCCCAACAGATCGGTGTGTTGTTGGAACGATCTCCCCATTACCGGTGAATTCCCCATTTACAACTGACAATCAATATTCATTGCCAATTAGACACCAATGATGGATACTTTTACCTTTGGAGAAGTTCACCTCTAGAAAGAGATTTCATTTTGATGACAGTTTTGGCTTCTTATGGCTAGAGGTGGGATAATACATTTATCATTTTTATCTGTTACATATGTACTATTCTCCAATACATTAGGTCTCCTAAATGTTGTATTCCTGTTGGCTCAAAGTGGGTATAAATGACCGAGTTGTGCAGTTTGCACGATGCAAACTGAGATTACGTTGCTATTTGCAACTTCCTGTTTATGAATTCTACCAAAATCTACCCAGGTTTCTGAAATCCATGTAAAATCCACTGAAATGTTTCCATGCTGTGGGACTTTATACCTGGATAGCAATTCGCCAAAGCTCACTGATGGGATGCAATATTGAGGTGCTCAGTTACTCCGTCAGTGCATAGAAGTTTCACCCTCCCCCACCGTCCAAACAAAAGGATTCAATACCATACGGAATATATGCTTCCTTTACAATCCCATACTGACCTGGTGTTATTGCAACTCCATTTCCATTGACAACAGGTCTCTCTTCTTCTTCTTCCTCTTCTTCAGGAGGGGCCACACCCGCTTTCTCCATGTTACTTACTGACTTGTTTCGTTTCCTTTTCCCTTCAGCACTAGGTCGAGCACCCGGCAGAATCTGATCTGTCACATTTAGCAGCAGTGGCGATGGTTCTGCTAAAGGTTTTGGAGTGCCATAGTAATTGTCTGCAAGAAAAGCCAGGACATTCCAATTCAATTATAATCTTTAAACCAAGTAATCAACAGCTACAATTTGAAAAATGTACTGCATCACAGAGCCTGGGCCAATTGATTGACAAATGATTACGGCACATTTTCTCAAGGAAAGTAGTTCTCCATTTTAAACACGCTCATCACCCATATTATTGGGACAAATATTATCACTAAGCCATATAGACTTGAAGGTTGCAGGTTTGATTCTGAGTGCTTAGCGAGCTGATCTCATTCGAGGCAGCAACTGGGTGTTATAATTGGTGCCTCTGGGTTTGGGGAAAGAATTCAAAAGCCATGCTTCCTGATAATGAATACTTTCCAAATGCTGCCCTGCATGAAGGGGCAGCAACCAATTTCAACACACATATACACCGTAACCCTTGAACTTGGTTGAGAACAGATTTGGGCTTTGCTGTGATGCTTTGCATGCTTTTATTATCTGTTGCCATTCAAATCTGCAACATTTTGACTTGTAAGATTTAACAGCGCACGAGTTATGTCTTTAACTACTAAATCATTTGAGAACTATGGAATAATTGCTTTAATAGAGTATCTATGCCGGTCTGGTGACATCTGTTAAGGGGAGAAGCTGGCTCGGTCATTCCGTCCAGTGGGACACAGTCAATTCCTCCCGTAGGTCTCTTAGAGTGAGGGTCTGCCATTACTGGAAAATTATACTTTTAATTAAAACAACTTGCATTTATACAGCGCCCTTCATGCGGGGCAGCATCTCGGAGGATTAAAAAGTGTCGGAGCCGACGGGAGGGAGGACGTGACTGTAAGCACAGTTGTGAATTGGGGGAGAGATTTCCAAGCGGTAATTGAAGAGGAAGAATATAAAAGGTTCAGGGGAAAATCAGGCAGTTAGAATTAAACTAGTTAACTCCAGAGGATCTTGTAGCTTCAGTTTAGGTCCTCGATACTGAATAGTCACCTCCTATGCCATTGCTTCTGTTGTTTTCACGACATCCAGAGGGAGCACTTAGAACAGAACGTACTCACTCTAGAACAAGTTTTGCCCTTTAACTACAATTGCTCATCAAGGATTCACTGCTCAGTTATTACTTCCTGATTCTGGAATTGGTGTAGTGGGAGAAATTATTGTTTAACATATCTTAAAAGTGAAGGAATTTGTGAAACATGGTTCAGTGCCACTTTACTATTTGACACCTCATTAAAAAAAATCCTTATCCTATCTATGCACTACAATAGAACAATTCTTTCGTTTTGTGTTAAGAAAGGCTGACTGAGGTGTTCCAGGACATTTGTTCTTTGACTCAGGATCATTAAATAGGTGATTACTGGAGCAAGGCACAAGGGGGGATAAATGTACAAGGTCACCTTGTACTTCATTCCTCTTGCAAACACAGTGTGATACTGCTCTATGTATCATCAAGTAACTGGCATTAAATGATCAGAACTGCCATGGTTTGCACTGAATGCAGAGCAGGGTCATCTCATTATTGTTATTTCTGTGCATTGCAAGGAAAGAAGTGCTCAGATTGTTCGATTTACTACAACATTTGCTTATCATGATATAAATCCATCATTTTATTCAATCTAAAAACAGGCTAAACTACAAAAAAGCAGGCTGGATATATTATGCGAATGGTCTTTATAATGTCCTTTGCAAACTGAAGCATTTCCTAACTCCAATTATCTAATATAACATAATATACAATCAATTCACTTCATAGTATATTCTATGTAGCGCTTCTGTCTCAACGACATGATAAGGTACTATATCAAATGCAAGGATTATTGTCATCATTATTAATTATTATTATTATCTACTGTAGTTCATGAAGGGCTGTATACCCTTTCTAGACATTTCCCAAATTGGTCCAGACTGTCCATTCAGCCTCAGTCAACATTTGAAACAATATACATTTCACTATTACGCTCTTTTATAGGTTGAATGACACAATGATCTCCACATGACAAAATTCTAGTTATTTGTATGTTGCTGAGATTAGCAGTTAATGAATTGGAAGCTTTAACCTGTACATCAGAGAGCAGGGATGTCGTGTATGACAATTTATAATGGATCAAATCCAACTTAACGGTCCATCTTTATATAATGGTCCATGGATTTATATAGTGCCTTTCGGGTCAGGAGATCTTCCCAAGGCACTGGAGAGACGAGGGTTTACAACCAAGAGGGGTAGGGTTGGGAAGATGACCGAAGGCGCGGTCAAAGAGGTGAGGGAAGGGGCGAAGCGAAGGGACTCTGAGATGGAGTTCTAGAGAAAGGCTGAAGGCCCGACCGCTGATGGTGGGGTGGGCAGGGCGGGGAATGTAAAGTGGGCAGCTTGGTAAGGTGTTAGAGGTAATGAGGTAAAACCACCAAGAACAATAAATGGCACTTCTCATCATGCTTCACATCTGGGTTATGCCAACAGTGATAGAAATGATATTTCCATTTCTAGATCTCATATGTCTTTACACGCCACCTAACTTGTTTGAGACATGTTTATGAAAATTCTGTTCAGTGGAATCCTCCACGCTTGGTGATTATGCATCAAAGGCGGCCCTTGCTTTTATGGCTCACTGGTTGGTTCAGTTTTATTTCGTTTCTATAGAGCAACAGAAAGAAATCCACACTTCATTCTAGCATGAATTTGCTTATGAATTTGCACTCAGGGCCCCATTCACTGCTTAAGAGCACAGCTGTCCCAGGCGCTTCTTGTTTTACAGCAACCAACGGGAAGTGTTATTGAAGGCAACTCGATGTCCCAGAAATCGACCGTGTTTTCTTTCAACGGGGAACCCGCAGACCTGCACGGAGTGAAATGCTTACACAAACCCTCAGTCAGGCCTCGCTTTCATGCGGGTGGGATTTTATGGAGCCTAAAAACACTGGAGGAGGCTGGATTGTATTAAATCACAATGGTTCGGGTGTATTCCCTCCTTTGTAATTCAAGAACTCCTACAAATTCTCAGCAAAATACAGATGTCATGTAACCAACCTTTTTTTAAAAAAAGAAACCAAGCCCTATTTCAGTCGTCTTTCTTCCCAATGGGGATTCCGATCATTCATTGTCCACTGACCCTCAAGTATGCGAAGACAATTTCTCTATACTCTCAGCCCAATGGGCCTCAACAACAATAACAATGATCTCATATCTGCGGATGATGTCACCAAGAGAGGAGCATACAGGCATTGAAGAGGAGGGGACCAAGGATAGAGCCCTGAGGAATGCCACACAAGATGGTGCGGAGGCTAGAGGAGAAACTGTTTGTGGAGATGAAGTGAAGAGGGTGCGAGAGGTAAGATCTGAACCATTCAAGGACAGAACCGTGAAGGATGAGGTGAGCGGAGGTGGATGAGGGAGTGGTGGGAGAGGAAGGAGCGAAGCTTGGAAGCAATGACTTATTCCAGGACCTTGGGAGAGGAAAGGGAGGTTGGAGATAGGGCGGTAATTCGAGAGCAGTGATGGGTCCAGGGAGGGTTTTTTAAGGATAGGAGTGATTACGACCGTTTTTAAAGGGGTGGGAACAGTGCCAGTGGACAGGGAGAGATTTATGATGTCTGTGAGTAGAGGGATAAGGAGTTGGAGCTGGGAGGTAAGGAGACGGGTAGGGATGGGGTTGAGGGAACAGGTGGTTGGTTTCATGCAGGTTATAGTAGTGGTGAGAGAGGAGTGTGAGACAGGTTCGAAGGTGTGGAGGGAGGGATGGGTAGGGGCCAGGGTGTGAAGGGGAGATGGGGAGGGGGTAGTAGATGAAAGTGCAGAGGCATCTGTGCGGATTCCCTTGATTTGATAAAATTTGATAATGTTCAGACAGATCTGCCGATGGACCGTTAAGTTGGATTTGAGCCAGGTGCGTACAGTGGCACGCACTTGTGCCTTAAGGGAGCGGAGGTGGCTGGTGTACCAGGGTGACTTCCGTGAGTAGGATATGGTTCGGGAAATGAGGGGAGCAAGAGTATTGAGAGTGCTAGAGAGGGAGTTGTGGAGGAGAGTGACCGAGGATAGGTCATTGCAGGAGGAAGTTCAGCAGAGGGAGAGGAGTTCAGATGACTGCAAGACAGTGGAGAAGGAGGGGTTGGGGTGGAGATTTTTTTTCAGGGGTGGTAGAAGATGGAGGTGGGTTGGGTGGGAAAGGGGAGAAGGATTGAGGATTTAAAGGAGATGAAGTGATGGTCCGAGATGGCATAGTCTGAGAGTTATCAGTTCTGCTTTTTTATCTATTCCATTTTTACAGTGTGAGTTTGGAGGTATCCCAGGCATGTTATGCAAATAATTCCTCCCTGTCCCACCCCACCGCCCCCCCACACACCCATCCCTACTCTTCATTATGAGACTAATCTATCGTCAATCGTGAGAGCACAGCTTCCTACATTCAAACTGACTGCAGGAAGACAATGTCAAGAGAGACAAACAGTGGCATGAAGCTTATTAGGCACATGAAAATGCGGTGTGTACGTGGGGAGGGGAAAGGTGGGCAAATAGTTCAAACTTAATTAGTTTACACGGAGTGTGATGAATATGTGGAATAAATTACCCAGGGAGGCGATGGATGCAGATTGTGTCAGCAAATTGAAGAGGGAATTACACAGCTGTTTGATGAAGAATTGATTGCAGGATAGGATGATAGAGATTGAATATGTGTAATTTATTTTGGGACTGGCCACGTTGACCTCAACTGTAACATTTAGGGTCTGTTCCTAAAGTTCTGGATATTTATCTGTGTCACCTCAAAAAAAGTTACATAAGAAAAACTGAGTGACTTACCCAAAACAAACCACCAAATCCAGAGCTGATTTCACAAGTATGAATAATTCCTTAAACGTTCTGAGTCATATTTAGGATAGTAATAATATATAGTTGTATTTGATATAGCGCCTTATCACGTCTTTGAGATGTTTCAAAGCACTCCACAGAATATACTTTAGAATGAATTGACTGTATATTTTGTGGGCGAAACGTGGCAGCCGACTGCATACAGCAGTGTCCCACAAACAGTCG